GCACAGGCAAAGGCAGCAATGAAGGCTGCAATCCTCCTTCGCCTCTCCCCTGACCACCTAAATCTGGGTCGCGTTTGAGAATCCTCAAAACTCTTCCCTCACCACCCGCGCTCCGCTCCACATGTTCTTCCTTTCGGTTTCTTTTCCTGATAATCCCTTTTTTTTTTTTTTTTTTTCCTTCCGCCCGTTCCCCTTCATCTTCACATCCCCCCTCCCGTACGTTCCCCTTCATGATGTTCCCCCAGCCCCCATCAGAGAAAGTATACACCATCATGGCGCGCACTGCTTCATTTATACGAAAGGCGGGCGCACAGGCAGAGATTGTGCTGCGCGTGAAGCAGAAGGGCAATCCTGCCTTCGCCTTCCTCTCCCCTGACCACTCCCTCCACTCCTTCTTCCGGTTCCTGGTGGCAAATCCTCAGTTGGTAGAGCAAGGGGGTAAGGGGAAGGGGGAGGGGCAGGGGGAAGGGAAGGGAGAGGAGGGAGAGGGTGGGGGGAAGGGGGGGAAAGAGGGGGTGGGTGTGGGTGAGGGGAAAGGGAGTGGGGGTGAGAGGGGCGGGAGGGTGAGTGTTGAGAAGGGGAGTGCTGTCACTCTCCTTGGGGCTGCTTATGGGGAGGATGAGGAAAATGAGGAGGAGGAGGGTAAGGAGGACGGGAAGGAAGAGCAGGAGAGGGAGGAGGAAGACGAGGTGAGGAAGGGGAAGGAGGAGGAAGAGGAGGGGGATGAAGGGAGAGAAGGAGGCAGCAGAGAGGGGCATAAAAGGCAGCAAGGGGAACCAACGGAGGAAGATGGGGCAGCTGAGGAGAGAGTTACCGAAGAAAGGGTTATAGAGGGAGTGGAGGGAAGTAGGTGGTTCATTGAGTCAGCAACTGCTGAAGCAGCTGAAGAGGTGGCGGGGGAAAGAGGTGGGCAAGGTGGGACAGAGATCCCTTCTGAAGATACTGCCTTCCCAGAGCAGCCTCCCCCAGAGCAGCCTCCCCCGGTTGAGCCTTCAGTGGTGTCAGATGAGCCTCCCCCTCCTGGCATGGAGACAGGCGAAGAAGCAAGGAGAGGTGATCGAGGAGGAGGAGGACGAGGAGGAGGAGGAGGAGGAGGAGGAGGAGAGGGTGAGGGAGGGGAGGAGGGAGAGCAAGGTGATGAAGGGGCGGAGGGAGGAGCAGCAGCAGGAACTGCGGGAGCAGCAGGAGAATTAGGCGGAGGAGGAGGAAAAGTAGCAGCAGGCACAGCGGGAGGGGAAGAGGCAGAAGAGGTGCCGGAGTCGGTGCGGGGGGTGGTGGGGAAGATGGTGGAGTTCATAGTGCGCAACGGACACGAGTTTGAGAGCATTGTGCGGCACAGGGACGCAGGGGAGGGGCGGTTTCCTTTCCTGCTGCCGGGAGACCGCTTCCACGCCTACTACCAACGAACACTAAAGGAAGCTCTGGAGGTGAGAGGGAGAGGGGTGAGTGCATGGGGCAGGGGGCGGGAACGGTTTCCCTTCCTGCTGCCAGGAGACCGTTTTCACGCCTACTACCAACGCACACTGAAGGAGGCTCTAGAGGTGAGATTGCTTGGGGTTATGGTTAGGGTTAGGGTTTATGGTTCGCGTTCGGGTTCAGGGTTTTGCCACTGGGGTGGGTGGTGGGGGGGGAAATGGTGGGGAAGATGGTGGGGTTCATAGTGCGCAACGGGCACGAGTTTGAGAGCATTGTGCGGCACAGGGACGCTGGGGAGGGGCGCTTCCCTTTCCTTTTGCCTGGGGATCGATTTCACGCCTACTACCAGCGCACGCTAAAGGAGGCTCTGGAGGTGAGAGCGCATGCAGTTAGGGATAAGAGACATGGAAGCTGTTTGGTTCAGGGCTTATTAGGGTTTGGTTCACTGCCTTTCCTCCTCCTTTTCCTGCTTTGATTCCTCTCTCAGCTCCTCCTCTCCTTCGTCCTTCCCCTTGCCTCCCCTCTCCCCTTCCTTCCTCCACCACAGCGTGCCAATGCTCCTCTGGTGTTGACGCCACAGCCAACCCCCTCGCCCTCCCCCCCCCAACACTGCCATCCTGCCCGGAAAACCGCCCGTTTCTGAATGTCTCTCTCTCTCTCTCACTCCTCTCGTTCTTCTCCATTTTCTCTCCCTTGCACCGCCCCCCAACCTTGGCCCCTCCTCCCTTTGCCTCCTTTTTCCCCCCGTCCTTCCCCCCCACAGCGCGCCAATGCTCCTCTGGTGTTGATGCCGCAGCCGCCCCCCCGCCCTCGCCCCCCACTGCCGTGCTGCCTGGCAAACTGCCGCTGCCTGCATGTCTCTCTCTCATTGTTCCCTTCCTTCCCTTCTCCCTACTCCCCCTTCCCCCCCCTTCCCCCCCACAGCGCGCCAATGCGCCTCTTGTGTTGATGCCACAGCCGCCCCCCCGCCCTCGGCCCCCCACTGCCGTGCTGCCAGGCAAGCTGCCCGTGCCTGCTGTTCGCAAACTGAGGGGGGGAGAAGCGGGTGTGGTTCTACGAGATGTGACTTTAGCGGGAGGGGATTCTGGTAGGGGCGAGGCGGAGGGAGGGGAGGAGGAGGGTGAGAGGGAGAAGGCGGAGGAGAAGGGGGAGGAGAAGGGGGAGGAGAAGGGGGAGGAGAAGGGGGAGGGAACTGAGGGTGGAAAGGGTGGGGAAGGAAGTGAGAGTGAGGGAGAGGAGGGGGCTAAGGGTGGGGAGGGGAGTGGGAGCGAGGGAGAAGAAGGGGAGATACGAGGGCAGGGGGAAGGGAAGAGGGGCAACAGAAAGGGTGTACAAGTGTCTGATGAGGAAGGGGAGAGTGGGGAGATTGTGAGTGAGGGGAAGATTGACATGGGAGAGGCAGGAGAGAAGGGAGAGGAGGGAGAGAAGGGAGAGGAGGGGGGGAGCGAGACCGAAGAGGAGAACAGCAGAGGAGCAGCAAACGGAGCTGCTATGGCGGGTGGAAGGCTCAGTGCCGCAGCAGTGGCTGCAGCAGTGCGCGCAGCTACTAGCAGGTTCCCCCGTCTTCTCGCCTTAATGCCTCTGCCCTTCCAGCCACAGCAGCAGCAACAAGCGGTGCTGCTGCCACTTCCACCGCTCCATCTGCTGCACCCGCTGCTGCACCTGCCAAGGCTGCTGCTTTGGTATTTGGAGAGGAAGAGGCTGAGGGTGGGGCTGGTAGGAAAGGTGGTGGGGTAACTGCTACTGCTGGTGCTGCTGGTTCGGGTGCTGGTAACACGGGTGGTAACCGCATGAGCGCTGCAGCAGTGTTGGAGATACTGAGAGGCAGGAGGCCTGGGAGTGCACCAGGCAGGGCTCCCACGGGGCTGGGTTCTGCGCTGCCTGCTGGTCAATCTGCTGCTGCCTTATCTGCTTCACCTTCTGCTGTTACCCATGCTACTGCCACTGGTGCGGGCCCTCCTCCTTCTCTCCTTCCTACTGCTGCTGCTCCTGGTAGTTCCGGTGCTGCTGGTGCTGCTGATGCTGCTGGTGATGGTGGTTCTGTCAAGATAGGTAGTAGAAAGTTTAGAGGCAGAAAGAGGAGTTGCACTAGCAAGCAGTTGAGTACATATAGGAACCCTAGATTGGGCTGTACTCGCTATAGAGTACCCCACTGCAGGCTAGACAAATACAACATTCTGACACACCCCCATAGTCAAAGTGGGGTATAATCAGCAGAACAAGCAGTCATAGAGCAGATTCACAAGTGCATGCAAAGCTAGAGGCATTCACAAAGGGCAAGTGAGGAGGAGGAGGCGAGACTGTAGGTGGAGAGGAGATAAGAGGCGTCGGCTGAAGCTGCAGACACACGGGCAACAGGAGTCAAACTGGCTCAGTGGCTACCGGAACAAGCGCCCCGGACTACAGGAGTAACTGGCTCCGCGGCTAAGAAGAGCGGCAGACGAGCAACGGACCCACGGGCGACTGGCGCAGCTGGCTACGACTGGGCTACCGGAACAAGCGCCCCGGACTACAGGTGCTGCTGACGACAAGACGGCAGCCTCCGCTCAACCTCCCCCGACTGTCCCACCCCCCTCTCACACACCCCCTGCTGGAACCCTAGCTCCACTCCCACGTCACCCCCCTAGCACCACTCCTTCGGCTCCCACACACCCACCCCCCTGAGCGGCAGCTGCAGCAGCGGGAGACGGAGGAGGAGGAGGAGTAGGGGACGGGGCACACAACCGGCACCCCCACAACCGCCACCCCCACACTCCCCACCCCCAAACCCTAAAACGGGCGAAAGGGAGAAGGAGCGCGGGGGACGGCGAGGGGGAAGGCGCGCGACCCCCAGGGCGCCACCTCTGGGCAGCGGGGGCCGCGCGCGGCTCCCCAGGGCGCCTCGACGGGGCAGCGGGGGGCCGCGCGCGGCTCCCTAAGGCGTCGCGACGAGGCAGCGGGGGCCGCGCGCAGCTCCCCACGGCGTCGCGACGAGGTAGCGGGGGGCCGCGCGCGGCTCCCCAAGGTGTCGCGACGAGACGTCGGGGGCGACGCGCGGGGCTGCGGGGCGACGCGGGGGGTCGACGGCGACGGGGGGAGGGCGCTTCGACGGTGGGAAACCGCCGCGCGCCTCGGGGCGCACGGCGTGCAGAAAACCGCCGCGCGCCCCGAGCGCACGGCGGGATGAAAACCGCCGAAACCCTAGAAAAAATTCGCCGCGCGCTCCGCGCGCGGCAGGAAGAAGTCGTCGCGCGCCCGAGGCGCCCGGCAGGAAGTACAGCAGCGGAAGCATTAGGTGGTGGGCCCACCCACAGGATCGACCCAGGAGGGTCGACCTGCTCTGATACCATGTCAAGATAGGTAGTAGAAAGTTTAGAGGCAGAAAGAGGAGTTGCACTAGCAAGCAGTTGAGTACATATAGGAACCCTAGATTGGGCTGTACTCGCTATAGAGTACCCCACTGCAGGCTAGACAAATACAACATTCTGACAGGTTCTGCTGCTGCTGGTGCTGCTGCTGATCAGGGAGGGGGAGCTGTTGCGGAACTAACAGCCGAGGAGCAGAGGCGGGTGGAGCGAAGGCGCAAGGCCAAGCTTTTCTCAGCCATGCTCTCCTCAACTGCCGGTGCTGCTGTAGCTGGTACGTCTGCTGCTGCTGCTGGCGTTCTCGCGGAAAGGGGCACTGCCACTGATGCTGCAGTAGGGGGCCGTGGTGGTGTAACCACCCAAGGGGCTGAGGTCGCTCTGGTAGCAGCAGCAGCAGCTGCAGCAGCAGCTGTTGCCAAGGCACTGCCCCTTCTTGGCTTGTCGGGGCAGGCTGGTGCTGGCTTTGGGAAGGGTGGAGGGGCAGGGGGGCAGGCAGGCAAAGGAGAGACCGGAGGAGCAGTAGCAGCAATGGCCAAGGCACTGCCCCTTCTTGGCTTGTCGGGGCAGGCTGGTGCTGGCTTTGGGAAGGGTGGAGGGGCAGGGGGGCAGGCAGGCAAAGGAGAGACCGGAGGAGCAGTAGCAGCAATGGCCAAGGCACTGCCCCTTCTTGGCTTGTCGGGGCAGGCTGGTGCTGGCGTTGGGAAGGGTGGAGGGACAGGGGGGCAGGTAGGCAAAGGAGCAGCAGGAGGAGCAATAGGAGGGGAAAAAGTAGGGGTGAATGGAGAGGCAAGTGGATTGGGTGAGGTGGAGAAGGGTAAAGTCGGTGTGAAAGGAGAAGCGGAAGCGGGTGGTGCAGCGATGGAAGAGGAGAGCAGGGAGGAGGGCGAGAGGAGCGACGAAGAGGAGGGAAGGGAGGACGGGGAGGAGGATGGGAAGGAAAGGGGGGGGTCGAGGAAGGAGATTGGGAATGGAAAGAGGAGGGTTAGAGATGCTCGAAGGAGCAGCAGCGAAAGCAGTGAAAGCAGAGGAAGCAAAGAACGCAGTGAAGGCCGGGATAGCAGAGGAAGTAGCGAAAGCAGAGGAAACAGAGATAGCAGAGGAAGGGGAATAAGGAAAGAAAGGAGAGGAGGACGTGAAGGAAGAGATGGAAGAAAGGGAAGGGAAAGAAGGAAGAGCAGCTCTGCAAGCAGCCGAGATTCCAGCAGGGAACGCAAGGCATGCAGAGAGCGCAAGGCAAGCAGGGAACACAAACCAAGCAGGGAGCGCAAGGCACAAGCTGTCAAGAAGAAAAACAAGCGCTCTCACTCGCACTCCCCATCCTTGTCTCGGTCTCCCTCCTTGTCATCATCATCGTCCCCCTCTCGCTCTACCGCTTCTCAATCCACCCCATCCTCCTCCCCTTCCTCCTCGTTTTCCTCTAGGTCCTCATTCCCTTCATCCCCATCTCGGTCGTCTATCTCTCCAGCTCGTACCAGCAAGCTCGGTAGGGGAAACAGGAGGGGCAAGGAGACGAGCAGACGGGGTGAAACGAGCTTGAGGGGGAGGGAAAGGGGTGATGATGGGTCGAGAAGAAGCAGCGGGCCCTTGGGAAAAGGGAGTGGTGGTGACAAGAGGAAAAGGCGTGAGCCTTCTAGTGAGGGAAGTGACAGCGACGAGAGGGAAAGGCGTGGGCGCTCTATGTCAAGATCTCCTATAAGGAGGATAAAGGAAAGAGAGGGGAAGGGGAGAGGCGGTGACAAGGGGAAGAAGGCAGAGGAGAAGGAGGGGGAAGGGAAGAGGGGAAGGGAGAGGGGGGGAGGGGGGAGGGAAAAGAGAGGGGAGGGGAAGAGGGAAAGGGAGGACGATAGAGAGCGGGAGAGGTTAAAGAGAATGAGGTCAGTGTCTCCTCAAGGGAAACACTTGAGAGAAGAGGGCAAGGGCAAGGATAGCAACCATACAATCGAGGCAAAAGCAAGGGAAGAACAACGGAAAGGTGGTGGGAAGGAGGGAGCAGCTGCACTTGGCTTTGCCTTGAAAGGGGAGTCATGGAATGAGGAGAGCAAGCAGAGGGGGAGGGAAATGGGGAGCAAGGTGGAGGGGAGTGCCGCAATGAGTGTGAGTGTGAGTGTGAGTGTGCCTGATGACATTCGAGCCAAGGTGAAGGCGCTGCTGCGCAAGCTGTGAACCAGGGCGATCTGAAGGAGATGTTGTTTCATGAACTGAATGCAAACATGGCAAGAACAGGGAGAGCAACGTGGGTGTGAAACGGGGCGTTGCACTTGAGTGTGAGTGTTCCCGATGACATTTCAAGCCAAGTTCAAGGCGCTGCGCAAGCTGTGAATGAGTGTGACTCTTGTTTTTCTGAATCGATTTCAAACGTTGCATGAAGGGACCGAGCAGGGTGGGTGGGTGTGGAGGGGAATGCTGCAGCGAGTCTGAGTGATCCCGATGACATCCGAGCCAATGTGAAAGCCCTGCTGTGCAAGCTGCAAATGCCGCTTCCACGTTCTCTGGTCTGATGTTTGTGTTGCAGTTTGGTATATGAACAGATACGGTAGGTGATGTTCGAGCCAAAGTGAAGGCCCTGCTGCGGATGCTGTGAAGCAGGGTGATTGTTGTTCTCTGTAGAGCACTGCACTGCACACTGCATTGCTTGGTGATGTGTTGAGATGACGTGCAAGCCAAAAGGCCTTGTTGCACAAGCTGTGAATGACGCTAATTCCATATCTCTCAACTAAGTTCAGTGCTGCAGTTTGGTAGACGAGCGGATGGGATGACATTTGAGCCAAGGATATAAGGGCGCTCTGCTGTGCAAGCTTTGAAGAAGGCTCGTGCCCACTGAAACTGTGAAATGTATATATGGTGACATTCTAACCAAGGTGAAGGCCCTGCTCCTCACTGTACTAGTTGTGTTTCTTTACGGTGTGAAAAGTTTATTTACGAACTAGGGTGAAGCCCGCAAGCCAAGGGAGGCCCCGTCTGCAGGTACTGGCGAATATGTATGTAGATTGAAATGTATAGTGACAATGTTACAGTGCTGAGTGCAAGAATTCTACAGTGCCATCTAGCTACGGAGCGTGGGGCCAGCACACGGATTATGTGCCACTCAAATCTCCGCCTCCTACTACCTAAGGGCAGCAAGGGCGCGAAGTCATAGGGAGGCGGCCGCAGCCGCAAACTCTTCCTCGCTCCCTCACTCACTCACTTCCTCACCCCCTCCCTCAAAGGCAACAGCTGGTTTTTGAGAATTTTCAAAAACTCACTCACTTTCTCACCCCCTCCCTCAAAGGCAATAGCTCGCATTCGCGCCCTCCCCATCGCACCCCACTCGCAGCGCTTTATTGCGACCTTGCGCCTACCCCTGGGTCACCGCGGCGGTCGCAACAGTCGCGCAAGTCGCAGCGGTCGCAGGCGTCGCCGCTCACGACACGTTGATGCGCACTTTGATGTTTCGCGCGCAGTCGTCGCCGATGCTGCTGCCGAAATACAGCGTCGTTCGCGCCTCAGAGGGCGCAACTGTGTAACGAATCATCCCCCAGTACCCCTGCGGAGCCACCGTCTTGGCGAAACCGAACCAGCACGCGGTGTAACCGAGCGGCGTCGCCCATTGTCGCACGTTTCGCATGCCGATCCAGCGGAAGACTGCATAGCGGGGATGGGCGTGGGGAGGGCGGGAGAGAATGGCGTGGAAAAAGCGTGTTGGGGTTGGGGTTCGTATTGCAAGGGGTCGCGTCAGGGATATAAGTGTCGGTATTGCCAATGACTCCGTGGGGGGTGGGAGTGAGGCTGCGATGGGTTGTGTGAGAGATTGTACCAATGCTGCAATGGGCTGTACAATCCGCTGTGCAATTCATCAGGCTGCGAGTCAGGCTTCAGTAGACCATGTGAGGAGATTGAAAAGAGAGGAAACAGGACTGCAGTGCGGTGCAGTGGCTTGCAGTGTGGTGCAGTGCAATGCAGTGCATGTCTATCTCGCCCATTGCGAGCAGATTGCAGGCCGGATGTGGTGCGTGCTATGGTATTAGGTATACATGAGTCGGCTCTTACCGAGTACGTCGCCTGGCACGACAATGGGTTGCTTCCACGAAGATACGCCATACGCCCACGGGCTTATCATGCTCCAGATGTCAGTCCCCTGCCCCACCGTTATCATCTTAGCATCCACCGAACCTGCAGCATCAAAAGGAACATGTAAACAAATTCTAATATTGAGGCGCGTCAAAATCTGGTTCCACGAGGAAACGCCATACGCCCACGGGCTGATGATACTCCAGATGTCAGTCCCCTGCCCCACCGTTATCATCTTTGCATCCACCGAGCCTGCAAGACTAAAAGACACAAGAAAGTGGCTTTGTTTCAGACGCCTCAAAAAATATGTCAGTCCCCTGCCCCACCGTTATCATCTTTGCATCCACCGAGCCTGCAAGACTAAAAGACACAAGAAAGTGGCTTTGTTTCAGACGCCTCAAAAAATATGTCAGTCCCCTGCCCCACCGTTATCATCTTTGCATCCACCAAGCCTGCAAGATCGGAAGGAACACGAGCGAGGCAGACCTAGGGAGTAAGGTTGCAAGCAACGAAGAGTTGGGAGATAGGCAGGAGGAGGAATAGAGGCTTAATAGATCATGCAAGGATGCCTGAGCGCTAGAAGCCTTACCGATGCATACTACAGCGAGTACAAGCCCAAGAAGCAGCAGGTGCCGGGAGGCCATTGCTAGCGATGAGATGCGAGAAGAAAGGTTAGTGCCGCGTGATACCCGCTCGAGAGACTGGGCTCCAAATTGGGAAGAGAGGCTGTGCTGAAAAGGGAGTGAACGAATTGAATTCGTAAGAACGAAGAACAAAGTGAATTCGTTTCGGCTGCTAGACACTAATGGGTGTGTCCAGCCTTATGAATGCACGATGATCTCGTCAAGAAATCTGTCTCTGCAGATTCCGTTGAATGTCGAAGCTCCCAAGTAGCAGCACTGGGGAGCACCGAGCAGCCAAAATGCGCGCAGTGGGATGCACGACGGCGAGAGAACTTGGTGCGGGAGGACTGATAATCTAATACGAGGCCGAAGGCGGGGAGCGTGGATCAGAGGCATGCACATTCTGAATTCTGAATTCCTTCAAGCGCTTCGGGCACATTCAGCAGAGCAAAGTCTACAGTAGCGTCCGGAGCGCGAATTTGGGGAACAACGATTGGAATTTTGCGGGCGCGGGAAATCTTGTCAGCGATTCGGCGAGTTCAACGATGAGATCAGGGTGTCAGGGATTTCGCGAACAAGCTCGTCAGTGCGGTAGTGTAGGGGTCGGTGCGGTGACCCAAGAAAGTGTCGGCGGTGGCGACGAAGAATTATCGCGGAAAAGTGACTGACACACACCCTGAAGTGACGAAAAATTGTTTTGGATAACCTGTAAATCTTTATAGAGAAAACACTTCACGTTTACCTGTGGATACACACGTAATAACTCAGAACAAAATACCATTGTGAGTATTTGAAATATGAAATTATGAATTAGTGAGAAATGACGTGAGTCCATTGTGTCCCAAAAGTGAATAGAATATTCATAAAATTTTTGTCCCTTATTCGTTATCAGTTCTATATGTCAGAATCTCAGCCACTAACCACTAGGATAAAAGGGCTTGTTTGTGTAGCGGGTGAGTGCGCCCATAACCCCCCAGGCCAACGTGCCTGTAACCCTTCCCTAGGATCAATCGCGATCACCAGTGGACCTCTGACACCCCCCCCGCACTGGGATGCCCGAGGTGCACACACCAGGATTCGAGCTCGAGACCTCCGCCATGATACCATGTCAGAATCCCAGCCACTAGCCACTGGAATAAAAGGGCTTGTTTGTGTAGCGGGTGAGTGCGCCCATAACCCCCCAGGCCGACGTGCCTGTAACCCTTCCCTAGGATCAATCGGGGATCTCCAGTGGACCTCTGACACTATATTACCGTATTCTCCCGGACAAAACACCCCCCCATGATAGAGTGTCAGAATCTCAGCCACTAACCACTGGGATAAAAGGGCTTGTTTGTGTAGCGGGTGAGTGCGCCCATAACCCCCCAGGCCGCCATGAATGTAACCCTTCCCTAGGATCAATCAGGGATCACCAGTGGACCTCTGACACCCCCCCGCACTGGGATGCCCGAGGTGCACACACCGAGATTCGAACCCGAGACCTTCGCTCTGATACCATGTCAGAATCCCAGCCACTAACCACTGGGATAAAATGGCTTGTTTGTGTAGCGGGTGAGTGCGCCCATAACCCCCCAGGCCGCCATGCCTGTAACCCTTCCCTAGGATCAATCGGGGATCACCAGTAGACCTCTGACATAGAGCACCCCCGGGTAGCTTGTGCGGGGTGGGTGCTATGGGCGACCTCGTTTCTACTATGTCAAACTATATATCTATTCTATATGTGTAGGCTGTAGTGGGGTAGCTGATATGGGGTACAGCCCCTTTCATCTAGTTCATTCATTCCTGCCTGTAGATTCTGACATGGTTTCAAAGCAGTAGGTCCGTAGGACCGTTTTTTTTTTTTTTGGGTTGCGAAGCAACCTATTACAATCGTTATGTACAATTTTTTTTTTCATATTTTTAATATGAAATATGAAAAAAAAAACTTACTTAGATGACTGCCTTACTATACTTCGTGTGGTACCCATGTGGCTGCTTGCTCCTTGTATGTGTTAAAACGTCGTGACTATACGGCTGTTTGTCCTGTAATGCATACGGTATTATATTGTTGATAGGTATTCGAATTTTGTGTGCATGTATGAATATTTGTATGATGAATTAAAATAATGATTGCATAATGCATGAATATAGTGTATAGCAGGATGCTTACCAGTACGGTATATATTAGTGCCGTATGTATGTCAGTACATGATATAAATGCGTGATAGTTATGCGACCTAAACAACTAGGCTACCGCATCCCTTGCCTAGCATGGGGGGGAAGTCAATAGCCTAGCATTTAAGTCATACAACTGTCACATCAAAACAACACAATCTGTGTATCCAAAAAAAAAATCAATTCCCATCAAATCCAGTTCAAGTGAACACACTCACTGAGTGGGCAAAGAACCTTCTCGGAAATGTTAGGCTGACTATTTTTTTAAGACACACAGACATGCATTGCTTATGCAATGAGTGAATGAATACAGATGAATACACACGCACACATACACAG